GTGCAACTGAATTAGAGTTGATAAAGAAAACTAAACTGTCATCAGACAGCTAATAAATAAATAAAAGATGAGAGATAATAGGGTATGGAAAATCTGACACTAAGGATTTTTTTTAATATCCTTCCAGGGCTTGAATGTTAAATAAATGGTCTGACTGGAATTGCAATGCCCTTCTGAATAGGGATTTTAACTTTTAGGATTTCCTGAACAGTTTATGCCTTGACTTTAATCAGTCCTCTAGGCTTATGTCAGGCTCTCAGAGATCTAGAAAACAAGAACAACACAGATCCCCCATGAAATTTTTGTCCTTTCCAGCGGACTCAGTGAGTATATCAAACATTAAAGGAAAGATCCCATTTGGATTCACCAAAAGGAGGACAGGAGACAGTTGATATGGGTTTTAACCAGGCTACAATATTTGGGACTATTTGGCAGAAAAAAGGTACAGTGCAGGTAAATCCATGTTACTTTAAATTATTACGTGATGCTCCACCAGCCCCCTTTGATTTCCATCCAGGATCACCCATGACGTTGACCTTACCATCCAGCACCTTCATAAGAGGGTTAAAAAGTGGGCAATGAGAAGGGGGGGAGGGAGTAGGAAGAAGTTGGCACCCTGCCTTCCTGATCAGAGGAGTTTCCAAGCCCTCTCTCCTACTCTGTTCCTTTATCCGATACTTCCTTTTAAGACATTTACCAGGTTATTTCTCTAGTCCCTGGACACCTTCCCTATGGAGTATCTGCACTGAACATCTGCCCGACCTTATGAAATAAGTTGCAACACATGGCCTTCCACATTTTTTTCTAATCTGAAAAGGATATTCTTGACCCTTGTTGTGGGGAAGGTGAAAAAACCGCACTGCTCTGAGGCCAACCTGGTGGTGTGGGAAAAATTACTTTGCAGCCTCCCTCCCACTTAAAAAGGAGCAAGTAGCATGATGCCCACAGTGGGTCCTAACTCATCCTGATATTCGTCTCTACTAGGGGAGCTGGCTTTGCTTTTGCTTGCTGGATGTAACAAAGAGTCTTCCCCATCCCAGTACTTGTACCTTTTTACTTTTTGGACCTCACATTTCTGAGGTGAGTCAGTACTGCACACTACATGCTGTCCACCTCTTTGCAGCAGGCTCTGACCTAGATCCCCTCTCCAACCCCTTCCCCCAGACAATCCCTCTCCCCAGGGGCAGATATAGGGCAGGGCGAATGGGGTGGCCGACCCGGGCCCCGCGCTTCAGAAAGCTCCGCGCATGCGCCATGGCGCCGCCACGCATGCGCATGCCCCGCAGAATTATGCTGCCCGGGGCCCCGCAAAACGGTCATCTGCCCCTGCCTCCCCCACTTAACTGTAGAACAAAGGAAAACTGGATCAGGATATGATAGAGCAGCAGCTAAAAGAGAAACATGTATCTGGTGGCAATGTCAGCAATATAAGCAATGGGGGAGGTGCATTAATATTCTCTGGTGAGGTAGATACCTTCCCTGTTTGCAAAGGAAGAAGGGTAAGAAAGCAATAGTTAATCAGTGGCATTACAGGATTGACAGTTCCATTATAACTGTAATGATTGGAACTGTTGTAATTGAACCACTAGATTTACAAATTATGAATGTCTTATAACAGAAACTTATTTCTTCTTCTTGCTATCAGACTCAATTCAGAAAAACACTTAAGCATATGCTTAGCATTAAACATGTGAATAATCTTCTCTGTTCAACAAAGTGCTCAAACATGTTCTTAAATTTAAATGCATGAGAAGTCCCCATTTAAATCCATGAGATGAGAATACAGCTGCAACTATTTTTCTTTATTAATGTTCATGAAGGTTGAAAAGATGAATCCTCTGTGTGACGAGTCATCATGTAAGCTTTCCCATGCAGCAGCATACTTAGGGGATTGATGCTGACTGTATGCTGGTGTGACTCCATTTACTTCAATGGAATTACTCATTATTCACCCTGGTGTACATGAAAGCAGAATCTGTCCTGTTCAGTCTTAGCTAGGGTCATTCCTTAAATTAGAACTTTGCAAAATAGTTTGCAAAGAACAGGAAGGTGGTCAGAAATTTTTTTGCCATAGAAAGCAGGCTCTTCTATAAACGGGAAAGAGAGATGTCTTTCTCTTCTTAGAATAAAAAATACCTGCAAATTTGTAGTCCAATATACATCCACAGTTGTCTGAGAGGTTTCAGTCTCATACTCTTGAAGAGGGCTTTATCTTGTCTACAACACAAGTGCACTTAATACAGTGCTGGTACAAAGCCTGTACTTAAAATTATTTCATAGGTTAGGTTTTATTTGCAAATGCAAAATTTATTTCTCTTCAGTAAAAGGTACTTCCCTACAGAGAGAGCAACAGTGCAGGCTATTCATTGTATGAAAAAAAAATCCCCAAGGGGTGAGGTCTAAATCCAGAGCTGGGTCTTTCTCTCAATCTGGATCTGAACTACCTACGAAAAGACATTTAGATCCAGTCTTGCTGTATAGACAGTGCCAAATTATGAAATAAGCTATTTCGAAATTAACTCGAAATAAACTACGCAATTTGTGTAGCTCAAATTGCGTAGCTTATTTTGAGCTAAGGGTGCAGTGTTGACATGCCCACAATAATATAAGGTTTCAGAATAACAGGTCTTAAACTTGCCATTGGTAGGGAACTGAATGTTGCTCATCCTGACTAATTATCACAAGAAAGAGGAGGAGATAGGGTAAGAAGGAAAAATACAGGAGAGGTTGGCAAGGCTGCAAAATAAATTCAGTCTATCAAAAGGTGGCAGAATTGAAGGGCTTTACTGTCCTGGAGAGGCATAAGGATTTTGTGCAAGAAGGGGTTTTTGCGCAAAACGGCCATGGCCACACTACCTGATTTTGCACAAAACCGCCTAGTGCAAAAATGGAACGAAAGAGAGTATGCAAATGAAGTGCAGGAAAATGCTAATCCACACTTCATTTGCATTACCTCTTGTGGCAAAAGTCATAGTGTAGCAGTATCACAAAGGTACAGTATTCCATTTGTAAGCATACAAATTAAGAGAAAGCAAGCTTGAATAGAATCAAGGTACAATAATAGAAGAGGAAGAAATTATTGTTCTACTATCCAGAAATGATTTGAAAGACATGTCTTCAGAAATCATTTTCCTAACAATTTCAAGTATATTTATTGCAAAACCAATCATTAGCTGCAATAAAATCTCCGGGAATAGTTTTGAAATTAATTATGAATTAAGAAGTAGCTCTAAAATAAACCATAATATTTTGTCAGGAATCTTTGTGTGCATGTGTGTGTATCTAGTTTCCATAGATTAGTTGAAAAGGAACTGAAAATTAACAAACTCGTGTACCGTATCTCACATCTGAAACAAAGAAAGATTGAGATCATAGTGTCATAGTCAAGGGGGACTTCTCGACCTAAGAGCAGGCAAGCACATAGCCTAGTACAATCTTTTGTGGATAGAATAATAACTTTCTAACAAACATAAAACAATTGTAATGCAAAGTGTAACCTTTACTTTTTCTTTGGTTTTATAGTCTCTGTATTTTCATTTCTATATTTCTTTCCTTTTTTCTTTTATTCTCTCATACCATCTAGTACTTTCCTTTTCATAGCATTTTTTGTTACTTCCTATTTATTTTTTTCTCTTTCATTATTTTTCTGGTCTTCCTTTTATTTTCTTCAATGCAAAAACATCATAAATATAGTTATTGTCTCTATACACATAGAAACACATATTCACATGAATACATAGATAAATCACAACAAGAGGCAGTATTCATTGGCAATTCACCACACTTGCTTTCAAGCAAGCAGATATGTGAATGAATGATCCTTGTACCTGCAATGAAGGTCAACAAAATCAAATTCTGATTACACTATTGTTATGAGAACCAACTCTGTTAACGTAATGCCTATACAGAAACCCTAGACAAGATTATTGCTGTAGTGTGCTAGCTTCTGTTTGGATAGAGATTGTTACTACCATGAAGAGTTTATATCTATAGAGAAAAGGCAGGAAAAACAGTATTATCCTCATTATATAGCTGGGGAATAGGTAAAATCCCTAGAGGTGAGGAATGCTGACCAATTAGCACTCTCCCATCTCAACTGTCCAATTGGTGTCAGAGACTGAGAAGGGTAGCTCCAAAGTCTCTCCCTCACTACTACGCCAATATGCTTTCATTGCTGCCCCATGCCACTCCCCAACCTGCTGATGAAGTTAAATGACATTTAATATCCTCATTAGCCCCATTTTACAGATGGAAGAACTGAAGAAAACAGACTTGCCCAAGTTAACATAGTAAATTTGAGGTAGAACTGGGAATTGAAACCCACCTTTCCTAAGTTCAAATTGGTGCCTTAACAACACCATCTTTCCTTTTCAGGCAGGAAAATTTTCTAATTATATTTCAAGAAGAGCTATGGGAATATTAGATTTTTTTATTTTTCAGACAAGCCCAAAACTTTAAAAAAAATATTTTGGGTCAAACTGCAAACAGATATTACAATTTTAGTAAAATGCAAAGCAGGAAAAAAATGTATTTTGAAACTAAATATTCCATTTTGAATTTCAAGCATATTTTAATTTTGGATAATTTTAATACGATTGAAGGAAATTTGTAAATGTAAAGTTATTTCAAATTGAAAAAACAAAATATTTTTTTTTTACAGTTTTGGTTTTTGTCTCCCCAATATGAAGAATTTGGTTAAATGTTTTAGTTTTGCTGAACCTGTGTTTTTCACCAAAAAAGGGTTTGTCTGATTTTATTTTCCCCAGCAGTAGTTTCAGAATTAAAGCCCTTTTCTCAGCAATACATGCCTCTATGTCTCCACAATTCAATATTGGGACTGTACACATAAATATCTCAAACTTACATTTATGGGGTGAAGTTAGGGAGAGAGGCATCTATTTTGTTAGCCAGGAATCAGGGCCATTATAGATAATAAACAGAGCAAAGACAAACACAGAGTTGTAGTTATTCTTGTTTTACATTTTTTTTCTTTTTAACAGAAATCAAAATGTTTTGAGCATCGTGAATTCATTCTGCCTTCTAGAGCCTATGTGACTTGAGAGCTAAAGAACACTGCCCTGCAGGCTAAAGTACATATCGCTGTGGTAAGTTAGCTGGCTTTTTTTTAATTAAAAAAATTGTAATGAAGTAATATTTATGCAAATTACTCGCAGTATTTTAGCATTTAAAAATGGAAAAGTCCAGTCCTAACTAAGAAACAAAATTGCTACTTTGCACTGAGGGTATGTCTAGACTACTGAGTTTTGTCGACAAAAGTCCACTTTTGTCGACAAAACTATACGTGCGTCTACACTATCACCGAGTTCTGTTGACAGCAAGTCGACAGAACGCGACAGTTTTGTTGATGGCGATAAACCTCATTCTACGAGGAATAATGCCTTTTTTCAACAGAGTTCTGTCGACAAAGGGTGCTATTGCATCCATACTGTGCCTTTTTATAACAGAGTGTCTAGACTCTGTCGAAAAAACGGCTTGCTTTGTCGACAAAAGCCTGTAGTCTAGACAGGCTGAATGTATAATAATCTGATTTTTTTCCAAGCTAGATTTAGTGTTGAGATTGTAGACTCTCTGAAAGATTTTCCTGGGCTGAGGCAGGTTTCTTGGAGGATATTTGACTCCAGGCTTGTGCACATTTAGAATGCTACACGATGCAGTTACAGCACTTAGCCTTGGTCTATACTAGGAATTTATGTTAGTAGAACTTTGTCACTCAGGGCAGGTCTGTCGACATGGGGAAGGGGAACGAGAAGGGGCAGTTTCCCTGGGGTCTGGTGATTGGCGGATGAAGTCCTGAACTCTTTAAACCACCACCAGAGCACAATACTGCATGCTCTGGGTGGCTCTGAAAGCCAGCGGGAGGTGAGCCACAGTCCAGGCTGTATTGATGGCTGACTGCCCCCAGCCATACCCCTTTTGCCTGAGGCCCCGAACGTTCCAGGCACAGAGTTGGTTCTTCCCAACACTTTGCCTAGGGGCCTGTGGAACTCTGCTAAGGATTATGGAAAATCTCCAGTGCAGACACTGTTATGTCAGTATAAGGGCTTCTCCAGTTGACCAAGCTACCACTTCTGGGGAAGATGGTAGCTATGTTGACTGGCTGATCCTCCTGTCGACATACTGCAGTCTACACTGGGGGTTAGGTCAATAAAATTACATTGCTTAGTGATGTAGATTTTCCATGCTCTTGGGCAATATAGTCATATTGACGTAAGCTGGTAATGTAGACCAACCCTACATAGTCTAGTACAATGATGGGAAATAAGACGGCAGTGGTTCGCCAAGGTTAGCCCCTGGAGGGCTTCTGTTGCTATGTGTACCTATGCCTGCACAGAAATCAGTGCTTGCAGCTCACATTGGCTGCAGATCACCATTCCCACCCAATGGAAGCTGCAGGAAGCAGCACAGACAGGAACACTGCTTCCTGTAGCTTCCATTTGGCTGGGAACGGTGATCCATGGCCAACAGGCACTGAAGCGACCATACCTGTGGAGGTGCAGGTAAATATAGTGGCAGTCCACCCAGAACTCACCCTGGCAAACCAGATCCAGGCTACAGGCTAGTATTTGTCTACCACCAGTCTAATATAAGCTGCAGCCTTGAGGAAATGGCTGGGCTTTCTTCTTGTTGATTCTGATTACTCTTATTGATTCAGTTGTTGTCCTCCAGAAATTACTTCAAATGCACACACTCACCTTATGGAGGTAGATTAACTGTCTGACCTTTAAACACTGCATGAAAATCAACTCACTTCTCTTAAATGCAAAAATGTCACCCTGGCAGTAAAAGGACTGTTTAATGTGTTTGGAAGAAAACTGAAGTTTTTCATGGGATATTGTTGCTACAGCCCCACTCTATATTCTGCAGCTTGCCTCGTGGCAGATTGTTTCATTATCTGGCAGTGTCATTAATCTTTTTTATTAGTACCTTAAAAATAAACAAACAATGATTTTGTTGCATTTGACACAAGTAGTGCATTTTAATTTTGCAGGCTTGTATTACTGACTTAAAAAAGCAGTAACAATTCAGACTGAAATACTGCCCTCAGTTCCTGACAAATACAAAAACACTCTACAGCTATGTGAAAGTATAACAGCATCTGTTATGCATATTAAATGATGTGCTATTTTTGTATCTTCCACATGGAGCTTAGCATTAACTAGGAAAGTTAGTACTAATTAATTTTGAGAAATAATAGCTTGTCAGTCATTTTGCATTTATGCAGACAGTGTGTCAGTGCTACATTCATTACCCAAAGCATCTCCGTTTAGAAATTGTCTTAAAATGTTTTGAATTAAACAGTCACCTTAATTTCAAAAATATGATAATGAAAAGTGAAGGTGCTTGGTAGTCTCTCTCTATGAATTATTTGTTTTTATAATTAATCAGAGGCAACTTTTGTCCTTTATTAGCATGCACGTGTGAAAAGCAATAATAATAATGGTGATGATAATGCACATATTCAGGAGTATGGCTATTTTGTCTTTAGATACAAATTACCACCTTAAGAGTAAATCCACACAGATGTGCATTATGAAAATAATAAAATCTTCAGCAACTTTCCCTATCTTTGTGTAAGCCAAGAACATGGGAACAGGGAGAAATGACAATATAGTGCCATGATTTTCTGTTTGTGTTACAAGTATTGCATATATATAGCTTGTGATCCTGTTACATAAGCACGGGGAGAAGACATAAGCAATTTAGCTCTTCTAATGATGCCACCACATGAGCACTCACAAGCAAAATAATTTACAGTGTCTTGCATAGATACAGTTTTCAGGAGGAGGGGTGGAATCTGCATGTCGAAGAAGCTGATAAAGCTGGATAATCTTCAGAAAAGTGAGGAATTGGAGAGTATAAATACATTCTTTTGAAGAAGAAGAGCTCTGTGTAAGCTTGAAAGCTTGTTGTGTGTGCCTGCGTTTGTCTGTACAATGAAATGCGTAGCCAAATCTATTTAGGAAAAAAAAACAAGGACATAGATCTAATTATCATTTATGCATTTTATTGCAAGATGTCTTAACATGGATCAGTCCATCCAGAACCATTTCATCATCCAGTAGTAGCATGTCTGTAAATCAAACAAAGTCACTATAAACGAACATCATTTGAATTTTTCTATACCTTTAGCACTGATTTGTATTACATTCTTCCAACCAGCTACATTTCTCAAAATAAATATTTACAATTGACTTGTAGTAGATCTGAACAGTGAATTCATTTTAAACTGGCTCCC